GAGGCAGTTGGCCTCCACATCTTTATATCATCCATATCTTTATATCATCTTTGACAGCAGTGGAAACCCTGTGGGGAATTTCCACTCTGTCTTCCAGGGGTGCTGTGAGTCAGAGTTGACTGGACAACAGGGAGTTTTGGGTTTGGTATGTTTTCTCTCATTTCTTATATATATGTCTGTTGTTCTAATAAAGGTATGGTTTTCACTTATAAAATACCAGTGTTGCATTATTCTTTTATTTTTAGTTTAAAGGCTGTCACAGTCCCACTGAGCTGGTGATGTAGCATCCCCTGTTGCTGGATTATTAAAGCTCTTTTTTTTTTTTCTCTAAAACTACTGTTGTTGTTGTTGTTGTTGTTAGTTGCTATGAGTCAGCCCTGACTCATGGTGACCTCATGTGTGGCAGAATGAAATGTTACTAGGGAAAAAAATGTGGAACAAAATTCAAAAACATAACAAAGACCAGACTTACTGGTCTAACAGAGTCTGGTGCAACCCCCCAGACTGTGGCCCCTCGTTACCCTTCAGGCCTGGAATGAACTCACTCCTGTGGCTTAACTCTCAGTCAAACAACAGACAGGCCTATGGGCTGAACACCTCCATGAGGGAGATGCACTCCTTAGAACAATCAACTGTGGGAGAACAGAAGGGCAGCATTTGCACAGGGAGAAAGGTAGGGAGGCAGGAACGCACAGGCAAGAAGGACACAGGGAAAGGGTGACCACAGGGAGGAAGTGGGAGGAGAGCTGTTACATGTGGGCAATGTGACCAGTGTCACAAAACACAATGTGTACATGGACTGTTGAAGGTACAACACATCTCCTTGGTAAAATTTCACCCAAATCACAATAAAAAGTTATTTAAAAAAAGAACAAAAGCAAAAACAATGAAATGCTGTTTGGTCCTGTGTGAGGATTTTCACACACAGCGTTCTCTTCACCTGGCTGGGCCTATTTCCTTTGCATATATTTCTAGAAGTGAGATTTTACTAAATGAACATAGATGGCTATTGTTTTTACAGTTCTAAATATATATTCTCAAATGAGTTCCCAACAGATGCAAGAATTTATGCCCTCGACAATGTGGCAGCCTTTCAGTTTCACTGCAACATTGCCAGCAATGGGTATTGTTGTCTAAAGCAGTTGCTAATTTAACAGGTGTAAAAGGACAGCGAGTCTGCGGACTGGGATCTGCCCAGGGAAATTTTTTTTTTTTTCCTTCTTCTGTGAGGAGCTTGAGCAAGGGACTCTATCATAGCCTTCAAATCTTCTAATTTAAATTTGACTGCTAACCAGAAGGTCAGAGGTTCAAACCCACCAGCCGCTCTGCAGAAGGAAGATGGGGGAATCTACTTCTGTAAGGATATACTGCCTCAGAAACCCAATGGGGGTCGCTATGAGTCGGAATCAACTCGATGGCAGCGGGTTTTGTTTCTGGTTTTCAAGTGTGATTATTCCACCACAGTCTGCCTGTGTGTCATCCTGAGGTAGCTTGCTTGTTGCTGTGAGGCGGGAAGCTATGTCACTGGTATTGCAAATACCAGTAGGTCACCTGTGGTGACCAGGTTTCAGCAGAGCTTCCAGACTAAAACAGACAAGAAAGGGAGGCCTGGCGAGCTATTTCCAAAAAAATCAGCCTGTGAAAACTCTATGACAACTTAACAACAGAATGACAAACAACTCAATTTGTGAAAATGGGCCAAGGACTGGGACAGACACTTCATCAGAGATGGCATTCAAATGGCCAAAAGCAATGACAGGGTGGTCACTCATGAGCCGTTAGGGAGATGCACATCAAACCACAATGAGATGCTTCTGCACCCCCATTAGAAGGGCAATGATCAAGAAAATGGACAACAGGTACTGATGAGGTTGTGGAGAAACTGGAACCCTCGTCCCCTGCTGGTGGGGATGTGAAATGGTGCAGGTGCTGGGGAAAACAGCCTGGCGGGTCCTCAAACAGCCAATCACAGCACATATGCCCCAGCAACCCCAATGCTAGGCAGACACCCAGAAGAAGTGAAGGTGGGAACACACACAGAACTGTGTCCACCAAGGTTCACTGCAGCACGTGTCACAACAGTCAAAAGGTGGAGGCAACCAAATGTCCCTCAACAGTTGATGGGTAATAACACGTAGTCCATCTGCACAATGGAATGCTGCTCAGCCAAGAAGAGACATGAAGCATGATGCACACCACAACACAGGTGAACCTTGAAAACATCACACTGAGTGGGATCAGTCAGTGGCAAAAAGGACAAATACTATATAATCTCACTCATGAAATAAGCAAATGCATGGAAACCAAAGATTATGGCTGGCCATCACGGGTGGGAGGGAGCAGTAAGCAGGAGTGTTAATATGGGGAACACTGAGTTTATGTTCCCGGTGGTGGAATATTTTGGCAAAGGGTAGTAAGAAAGGGAGGACAACATGAAACCGTCACCAGTGTCACTGGATCATGAGGGTGGAAGCCACACTGGTGAATGTTTTGGGGTGGACATTGTCACCACAGCAGAAACAAATAACAAAATACCTCTGGATCACAGCAGAACATTTCTTGACCCAGTGCTGGACTATGAGCCCTTGGTTGGAAGGCACCCAGAACACACAGTGGCCTAAACATGTCGACGAGTGTGGACGTAGCACAGGACTGTGCCGCGGTTCATTCAGTGGCCTTCAGGGTTCCCATGGGCCAGAGCCGACTCGATGGCCAGTAATAGCAATGACAAAGCCTGATTATTGAGTTTTTTTATCTTTGCTTTTATTTGCTTACTTTCTATGTAAGAAATACTTCTCTCCAGCTCAATAGAACGTGGAAGCCTGAAAAAACCGCGCCTTCTGCAGAGGATGTGAGCTGGCTGGCAGCCAGTGGGGTGACTTCACCCCCTTGTAAATACCTTCCTTTCCCGTTCAGAGAGGGAGATAAGACGCGCAGGGCTCTGCACTAGAGAGGGGGTCAGGCCCGGCAGTCAGCTGCTGGCCCAGGCAGCCAGGCCCCCAGGGATCGTCAGTCCTCTGAGCCAGCGGATCCTGTCTGTCTCCACATGTCCTGTAAGTGCTGCTGCAGGGAACTCTTCATTCCTTTTTATATTTTAAAGCCCTGGCAGGTGTCGGTGGCAGCATTGTGCACTGGGCCAAGGTCCAGGTCCTGTCCCTTCTTGCTTCACTCCCACGCTCTCAGCAGCCCTCTAGCTCAGCCCCTGCCCATTGCACTAGAGCTCTGTGAGCACTTTGGGTTCACTCCAATCGCTCATGGCTGTAATGCTGACTTCTCTTGGGTGCTTCATTTCAGAAGAGGCACTGAGGGCAAACACAGGGGCAAAAGCTGTCCTCTTCTCAGGAAGCCATATATCTTCTGCTTCAGTTAAAAGGTGATATGCAGTGTTCTTGTACTGGCCACCTCTGATGTCATGAGAGGGTCGGTGACATCAGTGAGAAGCTGCCCTTTGCTGAGAGCTTACTGTGACCATAGTGAAGAAAAGGCTGAATGTGAGAAATGTGAAAGATGACATTTAGCTCCTTGTGGAAGTGTACCCTTCGCTGAGTTCTAGAAAACCAGGCTGTCGAGGTCTTCAAAAGCATCTGTTGGAATGGAAGCGGGAAACACATGGAGGAAGTGGGAGGAGTGCTGTTACATCGCAGGGATTGCAACCAATGTCATGAAACAAAACGTGGATGAAATGTTGAATGAAAAACCAATTTGCTCTGTAAACTTTCACTCAAATCACAATTTTTTTTTTAAGTTTCTGTCAGAATCTTGACTGATGCTGCACAGAACAGATAGATTGATTGGTGGGGAAGTGGCATCCATCCTTAGCAAGGATGTTTACCCACCACCAGGGTCACTTTTTCATTTGTTGGATCTTCTTTTACGTCCTTAGTACAGTTTTAAATTTTTCTGTTAACGTTGTGTGTGATCCTTTTAGGATAATTCCCAGGTGCTTCCCAGTTGCTGAGCTGGGACACTGTTTGGTCTCCCCTGTGTTCTGCTTGGTCGAGGCCGCCTGAGGATCTGTACGTGCTAGCTCATCTACAGCAGCCTGGCTGAGCTCTGTGGCCAGTCTTTGCCTGGCCAGTGGCACTATGTCTATGCCTGTGCATGTATCAGGTGTGGATGGGGGTGCACTATGTCAGGCTGCTCTGTCCCACTTCTTCCCAATGCCTCCTCTTCTCATCCCCTCATGTGCAGCTCATTGGAGTAGGGGCAGGCTCTGTCCTCCTGGGCCGCAGGAATGCTCAGCCCACATTCAACCAGTGGCAGAGAGGAGTCAGACGACAGCTCCCCCAGCTCCCTCATCCTTATAAAACATCCAAGGGCATGTTCTATAACCCTTCCAGAGGTTTCTGGCAGGATACAGCGTCAACTGGCCACACAGGTGCAGCCTGCTTGATAACCATTATGGTCAAATTGTATCCCCTAAGTTGTTGTTGTTAGGTGCTGTGTTAGACTGGGTTCTCTGGAGAAACAAAAACCAGTAAAGTATACATACATATAGAGAAAGAGAAATTTATCTTAGGAAAATGGCTCACACACTTATAGAAGCTGGTAAGACCCAAGTTCTTGGATCGAACATCAAGCTGGAGGCTTTTCCTGACTCACGTGGTTGCAGGCACTGAGGAGCTCAAGGTTGGCAGGCAGTACACTGGCTGCTGACTCCAATGAATGACAAATCCAAGATCTCCAGGCCAAATGGTGGATTGTTCGCTCACAGACAGTTGTAGGCAGAATCCCAATCCACAGAAGACTATCTCTTTTCCCAGGATGTCCATAAATATATTGGAAGCAGGTCACACCCATAGGGAAACTCCCTTTCAGTGGACTGGCTGCTCAAAACATATACATCTGATCCCATCATGGGAACAACTCACACAATTGCTTAAACTACACAGAATTGTGGTCCAGCCAAGAGGCTTGATAAGTGGATGGATGAACGAATGGATGGAGAATGGGTGGGTGGGTGGATAGGTGGATGGATGGAAGAACAAATGAAGGATCACTAAATGGAAGATGGATGGAGGATGGGTGGGTGGATGGAGGGAAGTGTGGGTGGAAGACGGATGGGTGTAGAATAGATGGATGGAGGATGGGTGGTGGGTGGAGGATGGGTGGGTGGATGGAGGGAAGGGTGGGTGGAAGA